ATGGTCCCTTGTTAGGTAGTGTAGTTGCAGCCAAACTCGTACATCATTTTAGTTGCCATTTACTATCTCATTTTAGACTCCAAACACCAACATCAAATCCTCCACCAGCCATCACCGTAACATCTACACCTTCAAGTCCTCATCTCATAAACTCCAAACCTTCTTACCAGCAAACCATGTCTCCTGAATCTCCGCCTTGAGCAAAGTCTTGGCATCCCACTCCATATCCGCCACAACGAGATCCGCAATCTTGCCCACCTCCAAGCTACCAACACGATCGTCCTGAAATACACTCTTCGCAGCACCTTGCGAGCCAGCAACCACTGCTTCACACACTCCAAGCTTGAAGTGCTCATTTACAACTTCCTCGCACTCTGGTTCGCGAGCGGAACGGCGTGTCGCCGCGACATAGATGTTGTGAAGAGGATTCCATGGCGCGGTGGGACTGTCGCTTCCTAAGGCGAGGAGGGCGCCTGAGTCGGCGAACTCACGGTATGCGAAGGCGCGATCGCGACGGTCTGCGATGAGACGAGGCCAAGCGCGAAGGATAGCTGGATCGGCGTGGACAGGTTGAATAGATGCTGTGAGACCCAGTTTACCCAGTCTCTTGGCATCTTCCGGCTTGGAAACCTCGAGGTGCTCAATTCTGTGTCGCGCACCAGGCTTGCCGTACTTCTCGAGCATGTCTACTGCCATGGTAATGGCCGCGTCACCAATAGCGTGAAGAGCGATTTGGATTCCGGCATCAGAGGCTTGTTTGACGACTGGCTCGAGATCTTCTCTTGACCAGAAAGGAGGTGGTGAAGAGGCTGTTGTGTATGGTTCGGACAGATATGCTGTGCAAGCGTCGATGATGCCGTCGCAGATGATCTTGATACCCGCAATGCGGAGATCAGGAGAGTTCTCCTTGCTGTATTGTTTTGCTAGCTCGATTGCGCGAGATACTTGTCGCTGGCGCTCTTCGAGAGTATCTGCAGGCTTGACGATCCAATACGCATTTACTCGCATAGCGACATCAGGGTGTCGTCTCTTCAACTCAACAAGCGACTCCCATGCGTACTCGTCCATGGCCATCTCAATGATGCCTGTGTATCCAGAAGCATGATACGCTTGGAAAGCAGCAAGCATACACTCAATCCGCTCCTCATTCGACGCCAGCTGCGCAAGCGTGGGCCAAACAACAGTCAAGATCATCGCTTCACTCAAAACACCCGACGGACGACCATTCTCATCCCTCTCAATAATGCCACCAGGCGGGTCAGCCATATCAGCGACTTTCATCTCTGCTAGACCAGCAGTATTGCACCACGTCGAGTGCATATCCTTGGTATCGACATATATCGGCCTCTCGTCAATCTCATCCAGAATCTTGGCGGTTACGCCGTCGGGAGTCATGGAGTGCATCCATCCCTTTGCCATGATTCTCGGAACATCCGGATTGGCTTTTGCGTAGGTTCGGAGTTCGTGGAGGATATCATCCAGAGTCTTGCAGTGCTCCAGAGCAATTTTGCGAAGAGATTGGCCAAGCAGGAGAAGATGCATATGGCCATCCACGAAACCTGGCAGGACTGTCCTTCCATTCAAGTCCTGGGTTTCGACGACATCTTGGGATTTGATTTGGGCTGCGACATGCTCCTTTGTACCGATAGCCTCGATAATACCGTTCTTGACATACATGCTTTCCGCAAAGGTGGGCTCATCTGCCAAACTGGCGACGGTCCTTGAAAGGATCTTGCCATTGATGAACAAAGACATGATGAAGGATACTTGGGTTGTTTGAATAAGAACAAAGGAAAGAAACAAGCTGAGCTTCCTGTTCGGTACTTATAGTCTCCGTTTGCCTCTTTAGACTGGGCTCCGTTTACTGGGGGTGGGACCGCTTGGGCGGGCTAACTGTGCCTATCACCTGGAAGCCGGGACGAACAATGCATTACCGAAGTCATTACACTGCAGAATGCATGCATATGTGATATGGCATTCGACCATAGGCTCTCTCACTCAGCCATATCTCGACATACGTGTCCCCTCTGCCTCTGCGACGGCTGAGATATTCTCAGAATCTTCAATGAGACCTCGGTCTTGGAGAAACAAAGACTCCACCGAGATTGGGACCCTTGATCAGGACCTTTGAGTTTGGAGGACATGATTGGTTGACGAACGACCTTCAGTGGGACAGAGAAAATCGCTCATGGGGAGATGATCTTATCTGATTCAACGTCATCGGCTGATGGCGTATCTGATCTGATAGTTTACGATCTAAGCATGCACTGAGTCTACTCCAAATCTTTGCCGAGGTTCATCTACTATAGTATTGGTTCTCATATTTCTTCTTTGTGTAGATGTGTGCAGGACATCACAACATCGATAGAGTCTAAGGTATAGGGTATATACCATTGCTGTCAAACAAGATCATAGGGCGTATGTGACATAGGACCGATGACTCCAACCTTCAAAGACAAACGATCGGAGATTAAACATCCCCACAAGCTTGGATGCGAAATCGGACACGGTTATAAACGGCCGAGGCTAAATATCAACATGTGCAGAACACCTGCAACTGGCTGGACTTATACCCCGTTACTGTGATCAAAGAGTTCGTAAACACTGTGAAGTCTGCTCCTCCAACACGACCAACAGGATCGACAATGCGGAGACAAAGCATGAACTACACGCACGATGCTCGCTACCAGAGTATCGGGACTGGTGGTGTGGGGATTTGGCGAAAGTTAGGTTCTGATGGGCTCGCAAGCTTGAACGTTGGCGCAATGCAACGTAACGGTCGAAAGAGTTGACATCCTGTCTCAGACCGAACTAGGATACAAAAATAAACCCTGATATCTATATCACGATCGGTATCTGAATTGTTGGACAGACCATCTCTATAATGGTTCATCTAAGCTGAAATCTTGGTATTGGTCCCGTCTTGCCCAACCGCGAATGCTCCGACGACTGGGTTGGCGCGTTTGGGTTGATAGTGAGCTGTGGCCGTATCTACGGCAATGGCTCTCCTCATGCAGAGGTTTCAAGCTAAACGTATAGTCTGGAAGGATTTGGTGGTAGCGAGAGTCACGGATAGACGATCAGTCGGGGTTTCGGGATCGAGAGTCGCAGATCAGGGTGCGTCTGCTGAGGGTACAGATTCGATATTCGAAATCGTCCGTCTGGGTGGCAGTATAAGAAGTCCTAGTAGAGGTAGGTATTCGCCGAGATCCTATTGTGAATAAAAAGGTCAGCTTCAAGAATGTATAGTGTCAGAAGGAAGTTCGAATGGACAGCGCGACGATACTGGGCCTCACTGACTATCTCTCCGCAAGTTTTTTTCAGGGCGTAGAAGGTCACAAATTGCTGTTAGTACGATCGGCGATTCAACTAGAAAGCTCAGGGCCTAAGTAGGATATTATCTATCATTGGTTTGAGTTGTGCGAGTTGAATGACCAATGCTGTTGGTGTGCTCCGACATATCTTCGACCACCCACCAAAGCAATAACTTGCTACAAACTCATCCCATTATCCACAAATACCTCGCTGTAAGTCGGATAACCAGCCAAACCATCCTTGCAGACCACATTTGCTGCGAGATACAAGCTAGCCGTCATAACGTCCGTCGCATAGTTGATCTTGGAGCCTCCAGCCCGATTGCAGTATTTGCAGGCTCGAAGTTCGAACAGTTTCATCGTGTCATGACCGCCATCTGACGTGCCGCATATGCCATTGCGATTATGCCGCTCATGACTAAGGGCGAAAAAACCTCTATAGGGAGCGAAGAAATAGAGAATGCATCGTTGTTGTCGGACCTGCTGATACTCGGAGGATCTAGCAGGGTGTATGACATTCTTCCAAGGGTCTGCCCGGCGAGAGCGAGGATAGTTGTGAGACTGCGGTCTAGGTGGGCACAGATATGGTCGATTTCTCTGCCTTTTGGTAGATGATTAGCGCATACCGATAGAAACAGAAACACAGGACTGGTGTACTTACCTACCATATTTTCGACGAGGCTGCGACACACTCAAGCAGGACTTCGCCGTACTGCGCCTCGAGATCGAAGTTGGAGGCCATGCCGGCATGATCAGTGCTTCCAGGGCCACAGAAAGGCAAACATATAAACGAAGTATCTTCTCGTCTCGTCTCCGTAGAGGGATCCTTCTGGGAAACCTATAGTCAACAAAGGCACCACGGCCGACGCCAGGGGTAGTCTTCGGACACACCACTGGATTCAAGAACCATAGCAAGAACATTACTGGTTAAAAGAACCCAGGAATGGGAAATATGGCTCTTCAGTACCTCTTGATCGATGGTGGCTGTACTGGCGATGATTGTGTCGGGAGAGAATAGCTACCGAACCGCCAAAGTTTTGCCGAGATTTTTCATATTGTAGTTTTGGTCAACACAACGACAAAAGATATAGAATTGTGATATTTAAGTAGAAGGCCTGTAGTTACCTATATAGATACGTATACTCTGTTAGACTAATCTACTAAAATTCGATCTTCTTTTTTACCCGACTCAGTGCTACTCTAATAGCCAACGTACGGTGTACCCCTTGAAAACTCCTAGGTTAGTAAATCTCATGGAGTCGACAGCACTCAATTCCATTTTGAACCCAGTCCAGATGATCCCTGTCGAGCCTCAGATACAACGACTTCTCATCAGCGCCGGCATCACGAAGCAGTCGAATAACCTGCCTCCCCTTCTTCCGCAGCTCTTCCCTAATCGGCATCACGAACCCGCGCCGATACCATTTCTCAGGGATACACCACTCAGGTAGTTTAGGTGTTACAACGCACTGCACAGCTACTTGCAGAGGTGACTCGAAGTATACGGGCATGGGAGCATCTTGATCACTCACATAGTTCGGATCAGCGCCGCGAGCGAGAAGCCACTCGACGACTTCAACTTGGTAGAACTGTATCGCGGTATATAGAGGTCGATTCAAGCGTTCTTGGATGCGAATGTCAATATGAGACATAGACTCGGCTCGGAGGCTTCTTTCGAGGGTACGGATGTTGCCGTCGCGACAGGCTTCGTAGATGTGGGCGTTGGCGTACTTGGACTTGGCTTTTGAAGCTTGTCTGTATATCGCGGTGATGAGCCTATCGTATAGAGAGCTACATGTTCGTGCGAGGTTTGTTTTGGATTGGAAATCACCTGTGAGAGTCATTATGTTAAAGATGATCTCGTTAGGCAAAGTGAGGAGTTTTGGGTTGGAGTCGGAAGGGTACGTTTCGAAGGGTGGGAAGGATTCCATTTTGGAGCAATCTTTTGGATCAAAGATATCTAATGCCTTGGATGATAATACTCACATTTTGGGGGACTCTCAGTTTTGTATCTTCGAATCGACAATGGGTGCTGGCTGCATTTTGCCTTTTTCAAGCCATATTGTTCAGAACACTTCGACCTTTTGTTCCAGGTGCAGGTTCTATGTTCCGAGTGAGTATCTTTGTGTTATGGAATCAACCATTGAGAAAAGAAAGAACAACACCTCAATAAGTCTTTGAGCTTGTGTTATTGCCATTGTCAGCCTGTCCTGGATACAGTGGACTTGGGGATATTTCCACGCAAAAGTGGAACACTTGCATAACGCAAAGATTACAAGAGTTGACCTGTGTATTCATGGATTGTATTCTGCAGTTTACGTACTAGAGATTTTCAAGAAGGAAGTTGTCGGCGCGAGTACGACAAACCGAACAAATCGCAGTCCACATTACCAGAGCAGAGTGTTTTGGTAGCCTACATTACAGCTTGCAAATTATTCTGGTCTTCATGATGAGACTTCACGGTGCTCAGAGATATTGTTCCTTTCTCTTAGTTAGTGATCTCATCTGCAATATTCTATCTCAATAAACAAGAGTTTTGCCATCACCTCGTCTGTTCATCTTGACTACGTTAATTCACTAGCCCTCGATCTCGTCGACCCCCTCCCCTTCCATCTAGCTCTCTGCTTTTCTATTACAAGATCACTCACTGACCACAAAATTCCATTCTATTCACCAAAGCTCGTTTATTTGCAGAACACTAGTGGGTTCCTACAGCTGCCTGGTCCCTCGCAGCCCCGGTCTATCAGACTGTACGCTCCCACACTCGCACGCCTGCTCTGCCGCCGGTTCTGACAGTGCCAACCGAGTGGCACTCCTGTACACTTGACAGCTGCCTACTGTTTACCTCCCACTCCTTGTCACAGAAACCTTCCCTCTGGCCTTTCCTCCCTCGCCTTTACATCTTTCACCTTCACATCTTTTGGAGCACTCCTCTTCCTCTCCTCCTCCCTACCATCATCTGCTACCCCCTTGCTTTCCTTCTGTACCCTACTCGGCACCTTTTGGATAGCCTCATATCATCCTTCTCTCATTTGCCTCTCTTGCTCTCTTCCCTTTGCATTGTTTTGAGTACATTTTGTATACCCTCATCTCACCCTCCTCTCATCTTCTCCCCATCTTAACTTCGAGCATGGAAGTCACCATGTCCGCCAAGCAGGCTACTATTCTCCCCATCGAGGATCTTCCTGCGGAGCTTCTTCTTCATGTAAGCTCCTGCTTGTCCCTCCGATTCGCCTCTCGCCTTGCGCGAGCCAACAAGAAGTTCCACCAAATTCTGAACATCGAGCTCTACAAGCGTAGCCGCAAAGGCTGGTTTCCTCTTGCTTTCGGTGCTTGCACTGACAATACCGACACCTTGGCTCTTTGCATTGAAGTTGGAGCCCCTGTTGACTTCCATATTCGACAAACCATGGGAGATTTCCGCTGGTGCGGTGAAAGCTACTACATGGTCGGTGGATGGCGAGCTCTCCGCCAAGCTATCCACGACAACAGTCCTAAAGCTGTCAAGTTTCTCCTCGATCACGGTGCTTGCCCTAACTCTACTCCTGAAGAGTTGCATGGTAAGGGCCCCGGCGAACCTCCATTTGCTATTGTCTTCCGACGAGGACCTCGCTCACCAGTTGAAGCCAAGGCTATTGCCATCGCTCTTCTGGACGCTGGCGCCGATACCAGCACTGTCTCTGAAACTCAGAGGGAGGAACTGTTGAAGATGAAGGAGATCGATGGCTACTTTGCCAAGGGTTGGGCCTAAGGCAATGGTGAGTACATACAGCTATATCAACATATCCCGTGAGCGATACTAACGAGGCGAGATAGGAATATATTTATCGTTTGTGCTGCACCGTCATTGGAGTTCAGTGACTGAAGCGGCTTGTGTACCTACCTGACTTATTGAGATTTGGCTTTACTGGAAGAAGTCGCTGTTGATGACAACGTTGAAGAAGGATCTGCCTTGGGCTTTCAGTTGAAAGACGAAGACAAATTTATCGTGTGTGCCGGCCCGAAG